ATTTATTTATTTATTATTTATTATATCTATTTATATTATATTTATATATTTATTATATATCTGTAAGGATTTTGCAAAATGGATTTAAATAAAGTAAAATGTGTAAAAAGAATAAACAAATGAGTAAAATAAAATGAAATGGCCAAGGGAAGGGTAACACATTTGTGAGCAATGAGTGTGATGTTGATGGGTGAATAATGGAATTCTGCAAGGCTCAGATTCCGTGCAGGTCAGTCAGACATTGATGGATCCATCACAGTAGGACATGTCAGATTCGGTGAGAAGGAGTTCACAGAGCAGATGATATATTTACTGCTGAGGGAAGTCAGGTACGAGTGGTTGTTACCTGGTGGAGGTCTGTGAGAGAGCTCTCATCACCATACTGTAGGCCAGCAGGATCTGAGCGGTGGAGGTGACTCTCCTCAGAGACAACAGTCTCTCCTGGGGCTCCCGTAGGGATGCTGCCTGCTCCCCGAGACTCAGAGGAACCGAGGAGCTCTTCAGCTCGGTGCTGACAACACCTACACACAGAAACAAACAACATTTTGGAAAGCTCTTGTAGGAAACATGAAACAAAATAAGAACATTACCTTTGTAAAGCAGGCTGTTGTCTCCGCTGACCAAGCCACTAACGAGGGCTCCGAGTGGGTCGTGTTCAGTGAAGGGGATTGGGTCGGGCACGGGCTTCTTCTCACTCAGACCCAAAGGCCTCAAAAGAATCCCAAAGTCCTCCAAACCTGTAAGCCTGTCTGAATCCGAGTCTTCCTGGTTACCTAGATCCCATTCATCTAATACAAAGACATTACATCATTACACATTCATTTATTAAACTGGATAGTGTTGGTTATTTAAAAGTTTGCACAAATACCTTCTGATGTACCATCTAACTGACCAATCAGATCAGACGCCAAGCCTCTTGCCCTGAAAGAACAACATCTGGGTTGTTATATAGCAAAAAGTCAATGGCTACAGCATGTTCATCGTTTTTTCATCTTCACCTGTCCTGTTTGGAGCTCATAACCCCCAGGTTGGAGGCTAGGTACTTTTCCCTGCATGCAGTGCACAGGAGGTAGTATGGGCTGCCTGATCCGCATTCGCCTCCGAACCAGCCGTCCACGTAGGCTCCATTGCTGCGGTAACCACGGCGACCGGCACTCTGACCGCAGCCCGGGTGGTGGCGCTTCATGTGGTTGTTGAACTGCAGGGTGAGTGTGTTACACAGCTCACACTCCACCATCTCATGAGGCTCTGGGTGGTCTTCTCTTCCCTGAGACAAAAAGAGAGATAGAGTGAGAGAGCAATCAAAAATACATTCATAAATATACAAATAATATTAAAAGAAAAACAGCCAGAATGATGAAACAAACAACAGTATTCACACAGAAATGATTAAATAAATGATAAATCGGATAGAAAAACAAATGAGGTATGATAGAAATACAAAACAATAAATGATAGAAATAATGACAAAATGATAGACAACAATAATATGATAGAACAATAGACAGAAAGAATGAATGACAGAATGATAGAGAAATAGAACGAATGAAAGAAAAATAGAACACATGAAAGAACGAGATAAAAACAGAAATTACAGAACGATAAAAAAAATAGTACAAATGAAAGAACAAAAGAAAAATAGAATGAATGACAGAACGAAAGACTGAACAATTGAAAAATACAAGTAATGAGAGAATGATAGAAAAATAGAACGAATGAAAGAATGAGAGAAACATAGAACAAATGACAGAACAATAAAAAATAGAATGAATGACAGAATGATAGAAAAATAGAACTAATGACAGAACGATGGAAATATAGAACAAATGACAAAAAGATAAAAAATAGAATGAATGACAGAGCGATAGAAAAATAACAAATGACAGAACGATAAAGAAATAGAACGAATAACAGAACGATAAAAACATAGAACAAATTAAACAATGAGGAAAAATAGAATGAATGACAGAATGATAAAAAAATAGAACAAATGAAAGAACTAGAGAAAAATAGAATGAATGAAAGAACGAGAGAAAAACAGAATAAAAAAATAGAACGAATGAAAGAACAAAAGAAAACCAGAACAAATGACAGAACGATAGAAATATAGAACGAATGACAGAATGATAGAAAAATAGAACTAATGACAGAACGATGCAAATATAGAACGAATGACAAAAAGATAAAAAAAATAGAACGAATGACAGAACGATAGAAAAATAACAAATGACAGAACGATGGAAATATAGAACGAATGACAAAAAGATAAAAAATAGAATGAATAACAGAACGATAAAAAAATAGAATGAATAAAAGAATATTAAAAACGTAGAACAAATGATAGCACGATAGAAAAATAGAATGAATGACAGAATAATTGAAATATAGAATGAATGACAACAATAGAAAAACAGAACGAATGAAAGAACGAGAAAAATAGAACGAATGAAAGAACGAGAGAAAAATAGAATGAATGAAAGAACGAGAGAAAAACAGAACGAATGAAAGAACGAGAGAAAAATAGAACAAATGACAGAACGATGACAACAGAATGATAAATAGAGGGAATGACAGAATGATAGATACAACAACAGAACAAAAGGCAGATAGAACAACATGTAGACAGACAGAACAATAGATAGATACATAGAATGATAGAACGACAGCTAGAACGATAGACAGAACAATAGAAAGAATGATAGAACGGCAGACAGACAGATAGAACAAATGACAGAATTATAGGTAGAATGGTAGATAAAACGATAGATAGAAAAACAACAGATAAAACAATAGACAGATAGCGTCTCCAGTACCTCTACCATCCACAGCGTGTCTCTCTCAGAGGTGATGAACTCTGGGGTGAGCAGCTCCTCATACGGTTCTTCCTGGTACGGATCATCCATGTAGCCCAGCTCTGAGTCGTCTTCAGCAGCAAACGGGTGCGTTTCGGCCCGCTCCGGCCACTCTGCCACTCCCACGTCCTGTCTGTACAGCGATGGGACAGGACTGGGCGACGGGGAGTCTGAAACAAACAAGTTAGGTGAGCAAACTCATCCTTGCTGAATTAAAAAGAAACTGTATTGTATGTGACTCTGACCTGCTCTCCTGAAGGACGTTCTCTGACTTACTCCGGACCGCTGCCTCCGTGCAGGTGGAGGTCTGTTCCTGGTGAGGTGAACATCTAAGAAGTTCTCTCTCTCCACCAAGTCCAAACCTGCCAACAGACTGGAAAACACATTGGGAGCACACACAATGAATAAATGGAAATGAGCCCATTCTGGGATACAATTTTCCTTGCAGTGTGCTCTTTTCTATATCATTTTTTAGGAAATTTAGTAGGTCATTGTGACCTTGCAAACATGAAATTTGTATACTGTGCTACTACACATACTGTATACTAGAAACAGAAAGAGTAGTATTCTAGTATGATATTCCGAAAGCAGACACTAAAACCAAGTGGCCGTCAAGGTTGGTTAGGACTCAAAACATGTGAGAGATGTAATGTATCACTTATCAGTAGTTAGGACGTAGTGTATGCATGAATTCACCTCTCGTTGGGTTCTCTGCTCTCCTGTAGGGTGAGAGGAGCTGGAGACTCAGGGCACTGGACCATCTCTGGCCCTTCAGAGGAGGGCGTATCAGTGGCGCCCCCTGCAGATGAGCCCTCTCCTGTGATGGGATGTTCCAGCATCCAGCTCGCCAGCACCTCGATGGTGCGTGAGTCCACCTCTCCAGTGACCCCTGAGAGAGGTCACAAAGAGGTCAGGGAGAACACTCAAAAAAACATTTAGACACACTTGACTGAATTAAAGTTTCTCATGATCTTAAAAACCATTTGGTCTGAAGTGTATGATAAATGCTTGAAACTTATCAAATATAAAGTGACTGTATGAATTACTTGTTTTCTACAAATCTATAATTTTATTTTAAAAACAAACAAAATGGAAGCAGACTTGTTGGGACTAGATGGTGAAGGAATCAGAATTACGAGACAGAAACACCGAATTGCGAGATGTAAACTCAAAAAAAAAAGAATTCTGAATTCAGTACTGATAGATAAAACAAAATAATTGGCTTATTTAAAAAAGCTGGCTTTGCGAACAAAAAATAAATATATAATAAAATGTTTGTACAACTATAATGTTTAAGAAAATGTAAATATGCAATAAAATGATTATTTAAAATATATACAAAATATTTATATAAATAAGTTAAACTTTGTTGAACTGTGAACAGAGCATTCATAACAGAAAATAAGACTTCATGCGGTGCACCACTAACATTTCCCATGATTCAGCTGAGTGTTTTAGTGGGGAAAACAGTGAGGGGTGAATTGAAGCAGGATCTCATAGGGAAGTGTAATGAGTCTATCTACTGTAATAACAGCATCATCAGCAGTCAGCAGTAAATAATTAGAGACAAAATAAATAAATAAATACACTAATCAAAAGTACAAAACTCAATATAATTATCCAACTCTTCCATCCTTCTTAATCCTTGAAAATTTCATAAAGCATTGTAACATGATTGTCCCCTTTAGCAGGTAAGAATGAGTCTGGCTAGATGTTGCAAGCACTCGCTGGTACCTGCTGCCTCCATGGCCCTGTAGATGTGTCTCATTGAGAAGCCCATCTCAAGCAAGCGCACTGGGACAAACATTTGGGGCTGTTCTGAAGGACAGAAATGAAAATGTGATTCAGTTATGCGTCAGAATGTGTCTGGACTGGGCTGACTGATGCAGTCAGTCAGGTAAATATAATGTTTTTAAATTATTTATTTAGAAAATATCTGCATTTAAAAAATATAGCACAGTGCTAGAGAACTGGGGAACTTACTGGTCAACAAAATGACACATGGACTACAAATTCCATTACATACATACACACATATATATATATATATATATTACACCTAATAAAGTTTAATATCGGAGATTTTTTTATTTACATAAAATAAATTGAATATAAAATTGAATATAAACATAATAAAAAATATTCAGAAAATTATAAATAAATAAGTAGGATAATATTTCTAAGTCATTAGAAAATAAAATATATGGACTACAAATTCCATTACATATATTTTTTTACACTTAATAAACTTTAATATCGGACACTGACTACAAATTCCATTATATATTTTGTTACACTCAAGTTTAATATCTGAGACCACTTTGAAAAATCGGGATTTTTTAATTGACATAAAATAATTTAATATAAAATTTAATATAAACAATTAAAAAATATTCAGAAAATGATAAATAAATAATTAGGATAATACTAATAATCGATTAGTCACTAATCAAATTTATGATATTAAAATAAAAAATAAAATAAAATACAAATTCCATTACATATTTTTTTACACTTAATAAACTTTAATATCTGACATTGACTACATATCCCATTACATTTTTTCCCCTAATAAAATTTAATATCCACATTGAAAAGTATGAATCTTTTTCATTTACATAAAAGTTTCTTATAAAAATTAATATAAAAATAATAATTAAAAAATATTCAGAAATTGATAAATTGTTAGGATAGTATTTCTAAGTCATTAATCAAATTCGTGATATTAAAAAAACTAAGACATTCTCAAACTTTACTTTAATTAATTTAATTTGTATTTATTAATTTTTTTATTATTTTTCAATTAACCTTTCACACAGACTGACACTGATAATATAATTAAATACATTAAGTGTAATATAAAAATATAATTACATTTTTTATAAAATAAAAATTAGACAATTTTTTCACTAGTGTTCCAAGTTTTGGACCCCAGTGCATAAAAAATATAAATATATTTATAAAAGAAATGGGTAATTCATTGTGAGATTCAATGTGCCATTCAACAGGGTGTAAAGATGCACAAAAAAGCCAAAAACTTTTTTTGCAATCAGTGAGTACAGTATGTAACAAACCTAAAAATTCTTCCAAAGCAAGACTCAAGTGTAAAACATGCACAGGCGTCATGGTCTTGACATCAGTTTATAAAAACTAATTGAAAAAAATCACTAGACCATATGAACTGTGTCCATGGATGCCACATGCTACTTATATTCCAAAGTCTGTCTGGACGTCTTACCCACGGGGGTCCTGGTCTGACCGCAGGGCTCCAGGAAGCTGGTCTGCTGCTCAGTGAAGCCCTCACAGGAGGCTGAGCTCGTCAGGCTGAGCCCGGGGGGCAGAACCGGACTGTGGACGAGACCTGCCAATGTGGGAAAACGTGCCAGCACCATCCGCCTAGAGGAGCCCAGCCACACACACATGCACACACAGACACAAGAGAACCACTAGCACCTGTTCTAGAGCAAACCTTCAGCTTGAGCGTGTGTTATGATCAGGTGTTAATCACCCTGGTGTCATTAAGCCATGCTCAGATGCCTGAGGTTAAGAGGAGCATGTGTTTATGAGGTTTTAACACACACAGCCACGGCTTTACCTGTAACCTGTGTGTGAGTGTGTGTCTCAGTTGACGCCGATCTGGAGTGAGAATATCCAGGCATGTCAGAGAGTTTACCGTGTGTGTGTGTGTGTGTGTGTGTGTGTGTGTGTGTGTGTTTGAGACAGTCTGAAACACTGTCTCATATCCCTTTCTTTCAAATTGACATTGAATGGCACAGTTATTAAAAAAAACATAGACCATATGAACTGTGTCCATGGATGCCACATGCTACTTATATTCCAAAGTCTGTCTGGACGTCTTACCCACGGGGGTCCTGGTCTGACCGCAGGGCTCCAGGAAGCTGGTCTGCTGCTCAGTGAAGCCCTCACAGGAGGCTGAGCTCGTCAGGCTGAGCCCGGGGGGCAGAACCGGACTGTGGACGAGACCTGCCAATGTGGGAAAACGTGCCAGCACCATCCGCCTAGAGGAGCCCAGCCACACACACATGCACACACAGACACAAGAGAACCACTAGCACCTGTTCTAGAGCAAACCTTCAGCTTGAGCGTGTGTTATGATCAGGTGTTAATCACCCTGGTGTCATTAAGCCATGCTCAGATGCCTGAGGTTAAGAGGAGCATGTGTTTATGAGGTTTTAACACACACAGCCACGGCTTTACCTGTAACCTGTGTGTGAGTGTGTGTCTCAGTTGACGCCGATCTGGAGTGAGAATATCCAGGCATGTCAGAGAGTTTACCGTGTGTGTGTGTGTGTGTGTGTGTGTGTGTGTGTGTGTGTGAGAAACCCTTTTCTCATGTCCCTTTCTTTCAAATTGACATTGACTAGCACAGTTATTAAAAAAAACTCTACACATATTACTTGCCAGAACAATTACTCCTCAGATGTTACAACACAATGGCATTATTTCATAGTACTTTATAATGACTTCACTAATTCATAGGTTCCTTTATAATACACTCTTTAAATGTTAATAATTGGGCTTGGATGAAAGAGAAACTCACTGTAGCAGGTTGATGGGAAGGAAAGGGTTAAAGTTCTCCAGGCTGTCAGCCTGCAGGGCGGTGAGGAGCGAGGCTGTGAGGTCGTTGGTGGAGGGTGAAGCTGATTGGCCGAAGATGGCGGTGCCTTCAGAGCCGTTGCTGTAAAGCGAGACTGAACTGGAGGATTTGGACACGGGCTGAGAGGACGAGTGAACTCCTGAATCTGTGTACACAGACACAACAGAACAAAGAGTACAATTAATGAATATACAAAAAACAAACAAATATTACATTAAAAGCCTACGTTAATATTATTATTATTAGTAGTAGTAGTAGAAGTAGATATTATTATAGACTTTTTCCTTTCTAAGCCACATGAAATGCTAATGCTACTATTAAATTATTATACTAAAGTTACTAAATTAAATTATTAAATATATTAAGTATTATTTTTACAGACTTTCTGCCTTCTAAAAGTTCAAAGTTAAAATTAAAAGTTAGTAAATTATATTAATAAATTTAAAAACAAATAAACATTAGTAATAATAATGTATTACTATTAGCTATTTTTCCAGACGGTTGTCTTTCTAAGCTATATGAAATACTACTACTATTAATAATAATAATAATAATAATAAATGGTGTTATTGTATGAAAATTATTAAATTATGAAATTATATTAAGTATAATGCTAGTTATTAAATTATGAAATTATATTAAGTATATAAAAATAAACAATAGTAATAATAAAAATGTGATGATGATGAATATTATTTTTGTATATTTTGTGAATTCTTATTTTTACCGACCTTTGCCTTTCTTTTTGTTATATTTCATTATATTAAAATTATTAAATGAATGTTATTAAATTATGAATAATTAAAAAAACAGTAGTAATATTAATAATTTATTATTTTTATTAGCAATTTTTACTTTTTTTTTTTGCCAATTAGACTTTTGCCTATTAGCTATTTTTTTACTTTTTTACTTTTGCCTATTAATAATTATAATACATTAAATCATATAAAAATTATCAAATTATATTAATAATTAAATAAATTAACAGCCGTTATAATATGTAAAACAATTAATTATATTAAAATTATTAAATTACATTAATTACTGAATCATTATAAACAAATATATAAACATTTAATTATTATATTATTATTACAAAGTCAAGTTAAAAAGTTTAATTATTATTATTCAACAGTAAAAGTAGTAAACAACTGAATAAACTATATTGTTCACATGTTGCTGCCAAAGCTCCTGACCTTTGTGTTCTTTGCTTCCATCCTCGTGCAGTCTGCTCAGCACTCCTTTAAAGATGATGATCTGGGCCCTCTCGAGGTCTGATAAAGCCATGGCCTGTTTGATCGGACAGGGTCTGACGGCCCACTTCACCATGCTCCGCACCACAAACTGCAGCACAGAGCACAGCTCGCCGTTCTCCTCCCAGCCAGCAGAGGCTCTCGCTGGGTCGGGGCTACTTACATAGACCCCTGCATCTGATTTGGGAACCAGGAGGAGATCTGTGAACTTCCCGCAGCTCAGAATGACAGCCAAAGATTTTAGCGCCCCCAAAAGGAGGTAGGAAATGCGGACTGCGCGCAGTTCCAAAGCAAAGAAGTCCACTCTGGGTTGTGGTGCAAGTATTGGTGGACAGGGGGTGCCAACACGCTCCTCTTTTGACTGTATGAGGGATCTGAACGTGTCATCTTGGTTCTCATCTCTCCTCTCTTCCACTTTATTTCTGTCCTCATCCACTGGACAGCTCATTCCCTCTTCGTCCATCATAATACAAGCGATGTCCTCGTCCAAACATCTCTCCAGCTCGCTACGCGGGCCGCCCTCAGAGCTGATTCGGTTTCGTGACAATCCAGACGTTTCGGATGATTCAGAAGGAGGCTCCTGCTCTTCTAAGATGCCGGTCATCAGGATGAGGTCGAACAACACGGAGGGCTTGAGGCCACGGCAGCGGGACATGTCCAGCTGGGGGACGTCACACGGCTCCAGGGAGGAGAGAGGCGTGTCGCTGGGTGACCAAGAATTCAGGAAGCTTTGGGTTAGTGGGACCACAGCAGGTCACAAGCAGTATGAAGATGAAGAGAGGAGTGAGACGGAAGGGGCAAGACAGAAATAAAAGAGTGGAAAGGAAAGGATACCATGATTAGAAAAAAAATGAAGGGGACAAAAGACAATACAAGAAAAGGGAAGTGAAGAAATCGAAAAGGAAAAAAGATGCATGCAACTGGCAAAAAGAACAGGACAGGTATAACATACAAAAAAATTACAATGGCATAGAATTAACATAGAAACTAATGACAGTGCTGGAGAACATTAAGTCATAAAGCACTACACTATTTTACTCTAAAAGGTTTTGTATATTAGGGCTGCACGATAAATCGCATGCGATATTTAATGCGCATGCGCATTAAATGTTGTCAGAAAGCCGGTTCTGTAATCAGCGGTAAATCTCCATCACGTGCGTGCTTCCACATTGAGCAGCATTA